ACAATTTTAGGATCGGTTCTGTCAGATTCACGGCACAGAACTTAAGCTCGCAACCAGGAATACCATCAGGCCCTGGGGAGAAAATCGGTTTCAGAGCAAGGAGACTCTGGAGAACAGTGGTACTGTCAATGACTGGATTATTAATACAGTTAGAACTAATTATTTTATACGGATAACTACCGGCTTGAGCACAGGTCGAATAGGTAGATTTAAAAAAGTCCGCAAAAAGATCAGCAATATCATGGTCATGGCTAGCATTCTTACCTCCCAAAGACAAAGAAGATGGAAATCCCAAAGATTTTCGTTTTGAATTAACAAAACCATAAAATTTTTTTGGATTATTAAAAAATTCCAGTTTGCATCTACTTAAATAGGACTTGTAGCAATTTTGGCTCAGGAACTGGAAATTGGACCGGGCAACTAAATATTTAGAAAAATCTACCGAAGAACCAGATCTTTTGAAACGCTTATAGAGCTTCGATTTAATGTTATTAAGGTTAGCAAGTTGTCTTGTGAACCAAGGTGGCTTACTACTTTTAGCCTTAATAAAACGAACAGGAACGCAAAGATTAATGAAGCCATTAAGGTAACTGTAAAAAATAGATGTGGCAGCCTCAACATCATTACATGCGTAAAGTTCAGACCAATCATGGGTAGCTATCAAATGGTTGAGCATGTCAAAGTTCGCCTTGTTAAAACATCTCGAACGAGAACGAGAGCTCGCTTCCAAAAAATTAATCGAAGGCAGTAAATTATCCAGTGCAATCTCAAGTGTGGGGTGCAAGGGATCTTCAGGGAGGGATAAGGCAGAGATTCGACTGAGACCAATACCCATTGAATTATCAACAAAAACTAAGTCCAACAACTTATTTTTAGAGTTTACTACATTATTGATCTGAACAAGAGGCAGATCTATAAGAGAGCCAACAAAATCGTGCTGGGTGACAGGAGTCAAAAAGTTTAAATCATCGTTATTAATCCAACTGACGAAAGGCAGATTGAAGTCGCCAAGAACCACTAGGCGATCATTATCACGCAAACGTGAGTGCAGATTGTGGATAGCTGCAGAATGGCAATCATAAACTTGCATATCCGACCGAGGCGGTATATACGAACAAGAAACATATAAGTAGAAATTGGGGAACGAGAGCTTTATGGCTAAAAATTCAAAGTCAAGTGTGTTGTCATAGGTCAACAACTCAGTAGAAATACTGGACGACACAGCGATGAGGACACCACCTGCTCTGGACTGACGATCACACCGAAAAACGACATAGTCATTTGAAAATATTTCCGAACTAAAATTATCTGGTTTTAGCCAGGTTTCAGTAAACGCAATCACTTGCGCTGTAAAATCAAAACTATTTAGATAGAAGGCATTCAGTTTAGAACGTAAACCACGAACATTCTGATAATGAATAGTTACTATTGAATCGTAATGATCGGGTTGGTACTCAAGTTTTTTGAACCTGTACGTATGGGAGGCTCATCTTTCGATTTTGTGGTGAACAAATGTACCACCGAGTGTATAGGCCAAACAGATTTTTCAAGAACCGTAGCAAAATACTCGTCCGGAACTGATATTTTAAATGATGAAAAATCCCTCTCATACTTAAAAACAAACTTATGTACGCTAATATTAATACAACTTGTAAGACTAAGCTGAACTAAAATATAATTAATAATATCAGCCTGCGTTAAAGTTGGATGCAACCGCGATACAAAAATTGCACGGCGAGGCGGCACGGCGGTCACCAACCTAGGACCGACCGGATTCAAATCAACAGCACCAGAAAAACCAGCAACATCATCATTGCTAACAGCATTGTTAACAGCATCAGTGCTATTACCATTCGCATTATTTACAGGTGTATATATATTGTTTTGTTCAATAACAGCCGTATTATCAGTATTATCAGCAGCAACAGATGGGGTGGCCACGCGACTAACGTAGGATATGTTATTTACGTTATTAGACGCCACGACTGCAGGTACAGAGGTAACAGAGTTGGTCGATGTGACACTGTTAGCTACAGCAGCGTTAGCTATGCTATATATTGGTGTATTCAAGATAGCATTATTAATATTAGTAGAGCTAACAACACTTTTAGCAACCGACACCTTTTCAGCCGACACAACCGTACACATAGCATTGTTGTTGCTCAACTCCTCAATACGTTGGTTTAACTCAGTGTAATGTTCAACGGCAACAGATGCTTTAGCAGAGTTTTGCTGGGCTGTAGGAATATCTTTCTTAGCGTTTTTATTGTTTTTATTTCTTCCTTTGATTTCTTTATTTTTATTTTCTTTATTTTTGCTAACACTCAAACTCAGTTCTTTGACCTCTGATGTTAGCGAGGCAAGTGCACTAGCAACCCCTTCATCACAGATTTTTGTGAGACACTGTAGCTGAGAGCGCATAAGTTCTAATTCGCCCAGAAACCTGTTCTTGTCGGCTTGCAAAGAGTGTATAACTGCCACCGCACTTGCTTGCTCTGTACGCAGACTCTTCAATTCGGCAAGAATGGAAGAATCGGACCACTATAACATATAGCTCCCATACAACTGATTGTTCAGATATAAGATTTTTCGTTATAACTCCTCCATTTATGCAGCTAGGAGCATGAAATTTTGCAATACTTCCACCCATTATCAACAGAAAACTTGTGAAAATTACAAAGATCGGGTCACTATAACCTATAGCTCTCATACAACTGATTGTTCAGATATAAGATTTTTCGTTATAACTCCCCCATTTAAGTAGCTAGACACATGAAATTTTGCACTGTTGTCACTTATTATCAAAAGAATACTTTCAGTGAAAATGGCGAAGATCGGGTCGCTACAACCTATATCCACCATACAACTGATTGTTCTGATATGAGATTTTTTGCCATAACTTCTTCATTTATGCAGCTAGGAACAGAGAAATTCGCACTCAATATTAACAGAATACTTACAGTGAAAATAACAAAGATCGGGTCTCTTTTACTTATAGCTCCCATACAACTGATTGTTCAGATATGCGATTTTTTGTTATAACTAATCCATCTATGCAGATATGGGGTTTTACTGTAAAACTCCTTTATTTGGACAGCTAAAACCGATAAATTTCGTAAGCTATTTTTTAAATAGTAATACAAAGTCTACTGTGAAAATCGTCCAAATCTATGCTGTATAATCTTAATCTCTTATACCACTGATTGTTCGGATACCAGTTTTTGTGATATATGTATCTCCTTTATGTAGGAAGCTAAACCCATTAAATTGTGTCACACAGCAGTGAAAATCACTTAGATTGGTGTTATATAAGGTATATCTTCCATACCTCTGATTGTTTAGATATGATTTTTTATATATGTATCTCCTCTATCTATGCCTGCTGTGAATATATAAATTTATTCAACTGTAATCTGTTAAAGTAAAATTTTCAGATGCTCATGAAAGGCATGAAGTCTTCGGCATAGCCGAAGACAGCGCTGCTCTTACTTGTTTTAACATAAGAATCAACATTAACGTTTACATTAGCACGTATTTATATGTATACATAACAATTGTTTTGCGCAGTATTCCGTAAAAATTAACGGCAGATGGCGCTCTTATTTGTGATTTGCTGGTGAGCAGCGCTGTTATGTGGGCATGTACACATGTTAGATTCTATAGGCTTTTTAAAGTCTTGCAGTTCCATTTTTAAAAAGTATTTAAACGTGAGAAGCCCACCCAGAACCTATAACCAAAATTTCAAAAAATTCGGTACAGCCGATCTCGTGCTTTGCGAACAGAAAAAAACGGCTTTCAAAATATATATTAGTATAGATATAATATTAATACAGTTGTTTCATTTCACTGATAGTAGTTGTACTTAAACCTAACTATATACAATTATATATCAAATTAAATGTATTTTTATGCTCTTTCTGATACACGATATCTTTTTGTATAGTTATTTACGTATTTTTTACTACACAAACATACAATTTTATTTTTTAGTATTGAATGCGGGAGACCATATCGTCATCTGAAATGCAAAACAACAAACGTAACAAACATCGTCGCTGAAATACAACAAGTCGTAACTAGTAAAAAATTCAAAATTCAGTTTTTGATTGGTATGATGGATTTCATAATTTTGTGGAAAAAAAATACTAGTCACGACTTTTTCCATTTCAGTTACGATGTTGTTAGGCCTTTTTGCATTTCAGGTGACGATATATATATTAATATTTTATGCTAAAATCTTCCTTTCACCTATTTCATATAAAATTATAAATTCGAAGAGATTCATTTTCTCTATTTCTTGCAGAAGGCTGCCAGCATCAGCAACTCCAAACGACATTGGGAAGAGTTTAACATCAAGATAAGTTGCCTTAAAAATTCAAATAAATACGCCGGAGGAGTCCACATAATACGCCTGTAATAATTAAGATATGTGCTTTTGAACATATGATTCATGCTAAAAAATTTATGTCTACAATTTTCACATCGTTGTCAAATAGTCAGGCGTATAAACGTGCGTTTTGAAAGCATCTGTCGTCTGCAATTGGTACAAAGTCGTAGCGGCATCATATAAATACTTTATAAACGAAAAGAGGTCTAGTCACTGATATTTAGTTACTTTTACTGCCGAAATAGATTTTCTTAAGTGTGCCATCGCGATGGCTGCACCAGCAGCCTGTACGCGCTTTTCCGACAATTATGAAATTAAGGAGGAACTTGGCAAGTAAGTAAACAAGATATATACAAGATTTATATAAGTAGTAAGTTTTTTTTTAATAGAAATTATTTATTTAATAATGATAATGGATTGGCCCCATGCATAAAAAGTGAGCTTAAGCCCCGACTCGATTTTCAGTACAAATTCTTGAGCTTGAGCTCACTCCATCAGTCCGAAAATTTAGTCTGAGCTTAAGCTCACCTTTTATGCATTAGGCTCAATATTTTAGTGTTTGGCCGAGCTTCTCCTCCGATTACTTGTTTACTTGTATGAATTTCCAACACAACATCCATTGGCTATATCTAGTTGCTGATATAAGACTACAGACTTGGGGCCGTAAGCAATGATTATTTTCTAAATCTCCATTCAAAAATACTACTGAAAGGAGAGCACCAACATAATACTTGTTACTCGGACTACCTTTACTTGCTTAAGTTAAGAAAATAAGTGATTTTTTTAGTTTTATTTTTTTGCTTTGCTGAATTTAAAATAATAGCACCGGCACACAAAAAAAAATTTTTGTTCTGTACACCGGACGCCACCTACCTACGGGCATGTTTTT